GGGTAGGGTCATGCTTGGATAACATCAAGGGGGGAGGGGACAGAAGGAAACACGTCATAGCGTTTATTCTCAAGCGTCACACGCGCATCATTATATCGACACTTATTCTAGCTAGTACCAGGATACTAGCGCGCTAGAGATCTTCAGTACTCACATTCCACTATCATAGCCGACGTAACGTAGATTTCACGATGTCTAGGAAGTATAAGATGGATCTTAACTCCAATGCTAACGGAGTAGAAATGAGTGATATAACTTCTTCGAGAGAAGCTTTGACGACTTATCGCGATGGTCGTAGTAAGACCACAACCATCTTGGTAGTCGTAGTCTTGATTCTTTTTGTGTTAGCGGCTGTGTTCATCGGCCTGTATACCTATGAGAAAGTGAACCAAACGAAAACCGTTCCAGCAGAAAAACTGAATCAAACGAAAACCGTTCCAGCAGAAAAACTGAATCAAACGAAAACCGATCCAGAAGAAAAACTGAATCAAACGAAAACCGAATCAGAAAAATGTGATACGAAGGGATGTGTGATTGTGTCTGCAGGTATGCTCTAGTTTAACTATCTATAGTAGTAAGCGCACTGCTAATGAGAACATTGAACAATGTTGTATATACCTAATGTGTAGCACTTACTCACAAATGCTACCAAGGAACAAAAAGACAAGGGCAATCATTTTGTTGAATCTTGGCATCTTGAGATAGTAGACAATTATCATTGTGCGATAAGAAGGTCGGAATGCTAGTTAAAGTACACACACTTAGGTTGCAATTAAAACCTATTTAGGGCCATCTGTAGCCTATTGACGTGAATTCTTCGCGCTCGTTGAAATAAAAGCATTAAAGGCAAAATTTTGGCTACTTCTCAAGAAAACAAACAAATCCTTTGAATTTCAGGCTCGTTTTTAGAATCGTAGTATAGTATTGAGTATCATATTACTCTAAAGGTCTGGAATATGTCAATGTTATTAGTATTGGAGCACAGACTTTGCAAAAGTAGATCTCTCCTGCTGTGAACAGACCCGGGAAACGACTAATGCGTCACTCAACAATTTAAAATAGATTAATGATATTAGAATAGATTAATAGTATTAGAATAATAATCTGTTGATAAGAGAGGTGGTAAATGTTCAGTGAAATTTCGAGTCTACGAATAATTAGAAACCATGTTTGCTGGCTTGTATCGTGAGTAAGATTGTCTAAAGCAAGTCGTAGTTGAGCTGCTAAAGGGCAGCGAATAAGAATTGCGAAATCGAAACTTTGCGCATACATTTTAAATATCAAAAAAAATTATTTTCGATGTTGAAGGCACGTTCAAACCCAACCTATCACTCGCGGCTATGCCTGGTAATTTACTAAGTGATAAGGTTGGCTAGTGTTTGTTTGTTCTACATAGTATGCCTCTGAAGAGCGATGAATTACAAATCATTGAACTGTTTTATTTTAAGCCCTTGTGAAAAATTGTTTGGTAACTACGCTTGGTCCTTTGATCTTCCTCTAGCTGTTAATTGAACTGGAATCTACTCGACCATCAAAGTATCAAGGAAAAACACTACTTCTTCAAATTGTTTTATCAAGGAACATTTTTGTGTTGTTAGTTATTTATCCTTTTTTCTTTGCGAGAACAAAGAAGATTCGGTAACCCTTTTGACCTAAACTGGAAGTTCTAAGCAGAATCACTACAGGGGCTTCTCAACCGGCAAATTTTGTCTTTTCTATTTGAACTAATGAGGTTTTCATGTATTAATTAACACGGGAAGAAACTCAAACAAGTACACGAACATTACAAAAGAGGTCATCGGTTTTTTTAATCATGTTTATAATTAGTAATTGCAGCAAAAATGACTTTATTGGACGTGAATTGAAAACAGCACGACATTTCTACAACTTTTGAAGAGATATCTAGTAGTATTTCATGTTTGGGCGCGTTTTGTACATTTGGTTGTGAACGTGGATAGTACGCTAAAGACAGGCTGTCTGGTTTGTGTCATGTTAAGCTGATCTTGTCTTATCTTGATGATGTCATTCGTTACTTTGGTCATCCTACGTGCCTTAACATGCACTCTCTTTAACATTTGTACTTTAATTAAAACTTAATCTGTGTTAGGCTCATTATTGACTAGTTTTCCARCCCTGTGGATTGCATGTTGCCTAGCAATGGAACACAATTGCCAGCGGCACTTTACCGTCAGTCGTTGCCTCACAAATAGAAAAGTACTGGTATTACACTACTTTACACGTCATATAACGTCAGATAACGTTTCCTTTCCTTATGAAAAGTTTTTTTTWATAATATAACGTTTCATATCCTTATAGAAAGTTACTTTATCAGTTCATACCTATTATATCTAGGTAAGTAAAAAAATCTGTCCTAGACAAGCTTTGTTTAAACTAACTAAACCATGGCGCTCTGTCATTCCATTACCCATGGTGCTTTGCCATGATATTACCCATGGTGCTTTGCCATGATATTACCCATGGTGCTTTGCCATGATATTACCCA